AAGTTTAATAAATAAATATTAAGTATAGGCATAGGTAAAGTTAGGTAATTAAAAAGAAATAAATTGAAAAAGATAAATAAGTTAGAGAGGGTGATGTATTGAATTATTTATTTATTATAAAATATTATTAATTTGAATGAGTTTTTATGCTATTGAAGGTATTTCTATAAATCTATGGTTTAGCGGGGGATATCGCCGTTTTCCTATAGATAGCTTTAGGTAAGTGGTGGTCGAAATAAATAGATCATAGACGTCATACAATATACTTGGGCATCTGTCAACATAACCCCATAGAAACATTAGTCGATTTGTGTCTGCATCATAAAGTTATTCTGGATTGAAAATGTCAGTTTACGAGCCAAAATCTCGTCATTTGCTGGAGGTTTTAATTTTTTGCTTCAATATGAAGAAATATGCGGCTGAGGCTCATCGAATGCTCTCAAATACTTATACTATCAAATACTATGGTGAGGCCGCTATTAGTGAAAGAACGTGTCGTAAGTGGTTTCAACGCTTCAAGAACGGTGATTTTGACATCCATGCTCTGTATTTGGTGGGACCAGCTCGGCGTAGTGTATTACGAACTGTTAAAACCGACTGAAACAATCACAAGCGATCGGTATCGAACGCAATTGATACGTTTGAGCCGAGCATTAAAAGACAAACGATCGCAATACAACGAGAGATAAAGTGATTTTGCAGCATGACAATGCTCGACCCCATGTTGCGAAAGTGGTCAAGACATACTTGGAAACGTTGAAATGAGAAGTCCTACCGCATCCGCCGTATTCTTTAGACGTTGCTCCTTCTGACTATCACTTGTTTCGATCAATGGCACACGGCCTGGCTGACAAGCACTTCCAGTCTTATGAAAAAGTAAAAAATTGGATCGATTCGTGGATAGCCTCAAAAGATGAGTTTTTTCGACGCGGGATTCGTACGCTACCCGAAAGATGGGAGAAAGTAGTGGCCAGCGATGGACAATACTTTGATAAATTTATAACCAGTTTTTTACAATAAAGCCTCGAATTTCGGAAAAAAAACGGCGGAAGCAAAGTTGTGCACCTAATATATGTTTATATATTAACACTAATAATATTAAAGAAATCAAAAAAACTTGTATGTAAATTATAATATCTAAAAAAATGTTTTATAGTTTAATAATAAAAATATTAGTTTTGTAAATTGAAGACATAAATTCTTCTTATTAAAACAAATAATCAAAAAAACATATTCTCATATATACCTTAATCTCGTACATTAATATTCTCTCTCCTTAAACTATTTTTGTCTTATCTCTTCTTTACCGATTAATCCAAACCCCCTCTTTTATTTTCTATCTATCCCTCTTCTACTTATGACTAAATTTTCTAATACTTTTATTAATTATCTTTTCTCTATTATTACTCATTACTTTGATTATATTTATTAATTCATTTAATATCAGTTCTATAATTATTTTATTAACAACTCCTTATTTACTCCTTATTAATTTTTAATCTGTCCTTCTGATCAAAAAACTACGTATACTCTTATTATATAATTATATTATTCCTTACCTTAATTAGAGGATTACTTATTATCTTTTTATATTTTATAAGATTAATCTCTAATATAAAAAATAATGTTTACATTAAACCCATACTTATATTAACATTCTTAATAAACACAGTCTTATTATTCATTAAATATTACTTTTCCGAACTTTCTTACTAATAAATTTTATTTTCTTAAATTCTAATATTTCCAATATAAATTTTATTATCAACACTAACAAAAAAATATTCGAAAAATATTTCTAACATCTATTTATATCTCTATAATAATTTTAACCTTTTTTTTTTACCTTTAATTTTTACCTTTTTTTGTATATTATTTTTACTAATAGCTATATTTATAATTATTAAAATTTGTTCAATTAAATCCTCTTCTTTATGAAAAATCAATTAAATTTCTTAAATAAAATAATAGCTATCAAATTAAAATTATTAATGCATAATAATAAATCATATTTTAGAACTTTTCTTCCTATTATTATCTTTCTACATTCTACTATAAATTCTTCCTTCTCTTCACTCTTTATACCCTTATTATATTAGGTGTACAACTTTGCTTCCGCCGTTTTTCTATAGATGGCTTTAGCGGTAAGTGGTGGTCGAAATAAATAGATCATAGACGTCATACAATAAACTTGGGCATTTGTCAACATAATCCCATAGAAACATTAGTCGATTTGTATCTGCATCATAAAGTTATTCTTGATTGAAAATGTCAGTTTACGAGCCAAATTCTCGTCATTTGCGAGAGGTTTTAATTTTTTGCTTCAATATGAAGAAATCTGCGGCTGAGGCTCATCGAATGCTCTCAAATACTTATGGTGAAGCCGCTATTAGTGAAAGAACGTGTCATGAGTGGTTTCAACGCTTCAAGAACGGTGATTTTGACGTCCAAAGTCATGCTCTGTATTTGGTGGGACCAGCTCGGCGTAGTGTATTATGAACTGTTAAACAATCACAGGCGATCGGTATCGAACGCAATTGATGCGTTTGAGCCGAGTATTGAAAGACAAACGGCTGCAATACAACGAGAGACACGATAAAGTGATTTTGCAGTATGATAATGCTCGACCCCATGTTGCGAAAGTGGTCAAGACATACTTGGAAACGTTGAAATGGGAAGTCCTACCCCACCCGCC